GGTCTAGACATTTTTTGCGAGGAACAAGATGAAAAATTATAGTTTATTTGTAATGTAATTAATCTTTTAGTTTCTCTTCAAAGTATAGTTTATTTAGTAGTACAAAAAGGAAACCGGACACCAAGTCGTTTGTCATAGCAACTCTAAGACAATATGGAACTAGTTCATTTTTTAACCCGTGAAAAACAAACCTATTTAGCCATTGACAAAACCGACATAAACAATTAAATGTATGATGTATGAACCAATAACAGTTGGACAGAACAGACCAATCTGTTTGTTTGGTTTTGTAATAGGTATTTTGTACACTATCATTGAGAAAACATTGATTTATTTATCATAGCAGTAGTTTTACTTCCGTGACCGACACGATGAACTGGCAGACTTATTAGATTTATTGGAACAGGGCTTTGAGCTGTTTATGATTGATAATAATCGCTCGTTTAAGCGGATCATTGAAGAATGATTTAGCCGGTATCCTACCGAGTTGAACGGAAGGACCTCGAAATAGTTTTTAGTTAAAAAAAAAATAAAAAAACCAAGTCAATTTAACGCTGCGTTAACAGTATAATAATTGTATAAAAAAACATGATATTTGTTTTTTTTTCCTCTCAAAGGACAAAGACTGTTTGTTCAAACAGTGCATTTGAAATTTTTTACCAAATAAGGTATGGCAGGCCTATTTATTTTTTTGTTTTATTATGAGACTTGAACTTTAAAAAAAAAACAATGAAAATATGCATTACTAGTATTCAGACAACCGAAAAACAAATTAATTCCATAATAATTTTACTTTAATACACATAAATTGTATTAGATTAGTTTCAAAAAGTGTACTCCCGCAACAGAGCTAAAGCAAAATACTATTATAATTATTCCTGAAGACAAGATTTTTGAAATAAAAAGAAACCCCCAAACGGGTCAACAGTCTACGGGTACACGTTTTCAAGCTTAGCCTTAAAACTACACTTGAAAATGTTAAATGTGCATCTTTAAGCTAATTTATACACATACATCTTTAATAATATGTTCACCAGAGCTCGGATGTTGATGACCATGAATGTATTGAAATATGCATTTTAAAATGTCAAAATATGCAATTATATATTTTCATTGGAATCTTGACATAATATTTTGGACATAATATTTTGGACAATATATTTTTATAATAAAAATATATTTCTCATATTGTGTATAATTTGTTTTAGCTCATACTCGTAAACACAATAAAATTTTATAAAAAATGGAACATTTTTATTAATTATGCATACAAATATGCTACTAAATCTAGCTATAGTCATGATTGACAAATATGATATGCTCAAAAGTGTCAACTGGTCGACAACCAGTTTTGGACAATTATTTTTAAGGTTATAAGAATTTAAAAGTAGGACGGGTGGGGAAGTATGGGTACACTCCACCTTTCTTCCTGTCTTAAGAGGGCGTCGCACCGCCTATTTTTTAAGGAGTAGAGTATAGGCAATTTTTCACAAAATCTTAATTTAAAGGTTAAACTGTGATGTGCAATTATTAGTTCAATAACTAGGACTCTATTTTGGTAGTTAATTTATTTTTCGGACCATCACAGCATCCTTGAAAGCGATTTAAAAATGTTTTTTTTTTGCTCTACATGTTTAAGCAGACTGAAAATAACTCGTTTAATTTTGGTTTTAGAGTAAAAGCGCCCATTATAAAACTAAAATAGAACAATATTCCGGAGGGCAAGACGGTGCGTTTTTTTTCATTATTCCAAGTATTACGCTCAATACATAGTTTAGAAATAACGACTATTTTAACATTTTTAAATGACTGTCAATTTTCAAAAAATGAATTTTTTGAAAAAAACGCACCGTCTTGCCCTGCAGAATAGTGTTTTCTTTTAATTTTACAATTAGGGCTTTTAGTCTAAAATCAAAATTAAGCGAGTTAATTTCAGTCTGTGTAAACATGTTTTTACCACTGAAAATCACCGGTGCGACGCCCTCTTAAACTTGAAACTTCAATAACTTCAAAAACGCTTATCCGAAACTGATTATTAAACTCGACCGGTCAAAAAGTTTAGTACACTATTCTCAGTGTAAAAACTCAATGAAATGTATGCGTTACTACCATTCAAGTTTCAAAGGTTGATATGAGAACAAACTATGAAAAATTTAAAAATGTAATTATTAATTAAACCCGGTTAGACATTGAGCGGGTTATGATAAAAAAAAAATCACCCTATGTACATTTTTTTTTTGTATGACTCAGTCAACATTTTTTAAAAGATATCGGATCGGTTTTATTTTTTAATTATTCTTTTTCGTGGATTTAATATTTTATTTTTTGCATCCGTTGCGTCATCCATCCGCACTGTTGTCGTACAGGAAATACCGGTCGCCGCCGGTTATTCATCATTCGTACACATCCGTATTTGCCGGCCTCACTCGTTGTACTATTAAAAATATTGTATTACTATTAATTAATTTATATATTTTTTTTCAATATAATAGCGCCAATAAATAACAGCACAGTCCATGCCCAAGTCGTCCGTTATTGTGTCCATATACCGTACTTAAGCGTCTCAAGAGAAGGCAGAAACGCTGACGGCTCGAACAATTGGATTTTTCAATGTTGCCTATTTTTTTTTTTTTTTTTTAAAGGAACAATTTTTTTTCATGTAATTGCACCAGCCGTAATCAATCATAGAATTCGCACTGTAACCTGTCATGTCGATCTGAACTTAAACGGGAAAAAAAACCCCGGCACAATATCGCTGTCGTGAAATATGACTTAAGGCTCCACACAGCCGGAAGTAAATTTTTTAACACACACACACACACACACAGCTGATATCGTGCTTGAATAAATCAAGAAAAAAAATATCTAAAAAATTGCCGTCACCACACAACGACGACAATAATATTATTGTTATTATTATTTTATTTTATTCTTTTACATATTTGTCTTTTGCAATTATTGTGAAACTATCCAACCGGCGGTGGATAATTTTACAAAAGTCAATTATTACATAAAGTGTGCACTTACAATACACTTGTATATTAGGTGTACAATAGTGGCTTCCTGTGTCACGGCCGTCTCCTCTTTCTCAACTCCTCCTTAACCCTGGCCTAGGTTCCTTGTGTTAACGACAAGGTGCGATTACACACATGATAATAATCGTATTTAGTTATATGAATTTATTATGTTTTATTAAGGATGGCTGGATGGCTGGTAAAAAAAAACCACTTTACTCCACACAAACCACCAATAACTGTTAACGCATTTAAAAACAAATTAACGACCGTTCGATTCGGATGGATTTTATTTTTATTTATTAGTATATAATATTATTTTTTTTTTATTTACTCACACCTGACTTGTAACCGAGCCAGTGCATATTAGAAAACACTGTGTTAGTGGTACAAGGTCTGAGTCCACTTACTTTATCCACTGGCCCAGACTAAAATATGTTATTCAGACAAAACTAGTACTGTCGACAGAGACACAGTAGCAGCTATTTTTTGGAAAAAAACAAAACATCAATTAGCTTTGAAAATTTTAGTTTTCTTAAACTTGTTTTTTTTTTACATTTGTTATCATAATATTAGGAAATCATTTATTTTTTTTTTCATTACTTAAAATGCAGGAACTATGAAAACAATATAAAAAACGATTCGTATAAAATTATAATATTTTAATTTATTTAGAGGTTAAAATAAAATTCCCATATTTGTATGCGTGAGAATAGAATATGTACAATAGTTATTGTAAGTCATGAACGATAACAACAAGTAGGAAATAAAAAAATTCTTTCAATTTATTTTGTTTGTGCGTTGCGTCGATTTGGTAAAAAATATTAATGTCTAACTAGGTATTTTTGAAAAAAAAATTCAAATATCTGTTGGAATTGACCTAAATGAATTAATTGTCTTAAAATGGATTTATAATTATTATAACTATTAAATAGTTTTTACCACAGTTTGGCATCGCCTTAAGTAATAATTCTTAAAGGACTTGTGACCTCTCCATCCTATCAAACACTAAAAATACTAGTATACTAGTATACTTAAGCAATTTTCCAAACCACCCTTTTGCTTAGGAACCTAACCTAATCTAACCCAAAAGAAATGTATATTGTTATACTTCCTAATACCTACGGCTTAAGTCAAAATTTAGTACATATCATGGTCAAAACTAATACTGAAATACTATTAATATTTTTAACTAAAGACAATAGTTGCACTCTTAATCTTTGCACTGAAACTTTCTTACAATAATTATTGTGACTTTGCCTATTTTGTGCATCTTTATGATATGAAGATTAGTACACCGTAATAGGATTTAAGTCATTTAAATAGCACATAAAATGGTACATTATAGCTGTAACCGTTTAGAATGAAAATAATAGTGTGGAGTTAAAGACATTTGCGTTTAGTAGAGTAACTTTTTGGCAACTCAACAATTAATGTTCATTTAATTTATTTATTAGATACAAATCCAATTCAAGTTATATACTTAATATATCAAACTTCGGTGCCTAAATTGGATTTTAAATCATTACCTTATTTTTTATATTTTTTTACACTGACTATTTGCTTAAATTTAATTTAATTTCAAATTTTCAATAAACCCATTAGAATATAAGTCGGATATTTAATTTTTAAACTTGAACCAACTAATTATTACCAAACAACAAAAATAATATACATAATATGAACATTCAAAATAAACTGCTAAACAGAAAAAAAAGTAAGTTACAACTTGTCATTAATCTTTCAAAAATAATAATAACAATAATGAATACCTTTGTGAGTATAATAATAAAATTAACTAAAACCAAAATAAAACAAACAACAGTATTATAGTATTTTATTCACTTTTAAAACTTAAATAGAAACCCCCATATTTTTTTAGATATTCAGTTAGATAACAATTCAAACGACAATTAAAGCTATTAATTCAATTTAATTGTGACTTTTTTTTTAAATCTTAGCTCAGATATTAAATAACATATTATTTATAAAAACCACACCAAATTATCTGATTTGAATATACCTACAATATTATATACTTCTAAACAGAGCACTAACGCAAATTTTAAATAGCAATAACTTTTGAACAGTATGGTACCAAAGAGTGTTTGAAACAGAATATCCCAAAAAATATGATGGTTCCCATTTAAATTTTATAAGTATGCGCAAAGTACTAAAGGTATAATTTTGGATTTAAGCAATTAAATGTGTATAAAACAAAACCTACCAACATCCAAAGTCAAAAAATCAATAACGGCTCTAAAAAATGCCCGTTTTCGAACACCCTGTGTGTATAAATAAACTCTTTTTTTTTTTTTTTAAGGAATATTTCCAGTAGCGCATCACTACTGCACCGGACCAACATCATTATTGTTTAGGATAGGAAATTAGTTTCTTAAGATGTTGTACGGTGTTTTTCGCTTTTCCTTTCTAGGCGTCATCTTTGATGTCGTCGAGGACCTCTAAAAAAATAATACATTATTATGCGTGCGCACCCGCATACCTATAACGATAGCGTTGTGTTAGGCATATAGCTGTATAATAATTTAATATTATACATTCTATACTATAATAATAATAACATTATCTTTTCCTGCGTCATAACCCGTCGGCGACAGGAGCACGTTTTTCTCGACCGACCGGCCGGGCCGTTTCTTAATCTTGGTACACGTCCTATCGGTCGTCGCAAGTCCTCCTCCACCACCACCACCACCACCACCACCTCGGCCACGGCCACGTACCTATAACTCCTACTATGTTACTATTACTATTATACACTATTATACATAATGCGGCTGTATTACTATACACTATATTATACTATAATATTATACTACCGGTGCTGTTGCCGCCGCCGCCGCCGCCGCCGCTGCTGCTGGTAACCGCCGCGCTAATGCTGTTAACCGTGATGACCGGCCAGCGCGCCTTTCCCACCTACCGCTCCCCCGGCCCGTTACCACTACCACGGTCGCCCCGCGCCATGGAGTCGTTCTTTCCAGCGGCGGCGGCGGCGGCAACGGCAACGGCAACGGCACACCGCGCCGGGGCAAACAAGTCAGTGCATCGCGGTCATCGTGCATACGTCTCGTGTGTGCCGCGCGTCAGTCGTCTAAGTCATATATGTTTTAGATAATACACCTAATTAATATATATATATAAATATATATTTTTATATAACCTTTTTTAAAACAAATTTTTTTATATTATTATTAATATATATATTTTTTATTATTGTTATTGTTTTTTTAATACCGTACAGTATTCGTTCGACGGCCATCTCTCTCTCTCTCTCTCTCTCTCTTAATCTACAACGCGGCGCACCGCTACTTATAAAAAAAAAAAAAAAACCGCGTCTACACTACCTTTTTGAGTATCGTTTTTTTTGATTTGTAACTTTTTTTCAACAAAAAAAAAAAAACCACAAAAAAATTGCGGCCGGCAAGTGCCGCACAACCCCTCTTTTCGGACATCACTAACGCAACCCCCCGGAGAGCGGAAAGCAAGAACAACCCCCCGTTGAAAGATGCACAACAAAAAGGGCAAGCTGTGCACCAAACTGACCAGCAGCTTCCTGAGGAAGTGGTGTAAGTGTTTCATTTGTTTTTATTTAGTAGAAAATAAGATATTAAAAAAAAAAAAAAATGATTATTATCATTATTATTATACTTTGACCGCGACCGAATAGTATAACGGTTTTGCTCGTGTCGGTGCGATTTCTCTCCAAAGTCCATACTCGGTTATTTTACAACCGGTTTTTGGTATTTTTTCCTTCTTCTTCTTCTTCTCCTTAAAGAAACACAATTTCTACTCAACTCGGTGTAGTACCTACCATCCACTGTAGGTCGCCGTGTGTTTTTTTTTTTTATTAAACAAACCGCAATGCTGTACATGTGTGTTGCGGTGTATATATGTATATACATATATAAGGGCTACGGATTCGGTATGCATTTCCTGTGTACAGTTTACATACACGCATAAGACAAAAAAATAAAAATCTCATTTTTCTTCATCGGCTCAACCTCGCCGCGGTTATTGTCGTTTTCGCAAATAAAAATATTTTGATAAAAATATGTCGTCCAGATGACAAACGCATGGCGATCGTTGTGTTTCCAAAACAATGCACGTTTTTTAAGCTTGTTAAAAAAAAAAAAAAAATACAAAAATAATACACTGACCCGATGATGGACTAAAAACACTGTAAACAAGCCGCGGGTACGTGTGAACTTTAAACACAATACTAAATACTAAAAAATATACTTTTATTCGCCTAAGCCTATTTACCACCGGGTCGTTATAACTTATAACTATTATTATTATTATTATTATACTATCTTCCGACAGGTGTCTTATGACAAGTTGTAATTATCATGTTATAAGGTATATATATATATATATATACTAAAAGGTTTTGATTTTTTTTCCCCTATCGTTTTTGGTAACCCGCTCAACGATGGTTGTGTGTGTGTGTGTGTGTGTGTGTGTGTATAGTCGCATTCCTCTGTGGCGACAAGCTATTGCTCCGCATAATAATATTTTTATACATATAATAATATTATTACTCACCTCTCGCTGTAAAAATATACACCACCACCTTTGTGTACCTATTTATAATAAATAATAATATTAATAATAGTAAAGCCGTCGACTTGTGATAAATTATCGCATTAATCGCGGAGAGTATATAATTGTTATGGTTAAGGGTTTTTATTATTATTTTATTACATATAACCATAAGTGGTTAAGTTTTTTCTAGATATCACAGGTATATTATCATATTATATTATAATAAATCTTGTTTTGCATAAAGTGCTGTTGAACACTTTAACAGTAGAGAATATAGCTATACTTAGTAAAGACGGATGTTTCCCTACTGTCCAAATATTATCTAAACAATTATTATCCAATTTAAATGCAATTAAGTTTAAAACTGTGTCTTTGGTCAGAAAAAGGGAACATTTTTATCGAAACCGAATAGTGCGGAAAATTTAGTATCTACTTAAAAATATCAAGTAAAAAACAATTAATCAGATACTTACATTTCTACCAATTAATATCGAAAATTTAATATCTATTTAAGACATCTTAAAAAATCAAGTAAAAAACAATTAATTGCACACATACATTACCATTACCGTTTAGCATGTTTGATGTTTTATTTTTATTTTTTTTCTAATTTTATTAATTTTAGTAATTTTAGTAAATCAGATATTAACATAATTTATTTGTTTGTACATATTTTTGTATTATTATTTTGTTTTAATCTACCCCCCCCCTCCCTAACAAGCTATACTTATCGGGAAGGTGTCAACATTTTGACATTGTAAGAATACAAAATATGTAATATTGTCAGCTCAAACCATTGTAATAATATAGTATGATTTATACTTAGGAGACAATATATCGGGGAGGGGGTGGTCGTTTGACGGTATTTCATCAGTGACTCATCGCAAAAATTAAAATCAAATAACAATAAAAAAAACCTAACAAAACACTGAAATGACTCATTAGACTTGAATATCATTGTATTCTGCTCGGTGATAATGATAGGCCAGAGATGATACAGCGACGGACAAGCCCTTTGGATTCAGCTGGGAAAAAATAAGATCAAAGACATTAAATAACAATAATCCAACATTTTTGGCTGTGTGTGTCTTATTCGGTTCGAGGACAATGTACAATGTAACAAAACAAAACGGGTAGTACATTGGAAAGCCTCTCGTGATGTAATATAAAATCCTCCCATCGTCTTGGTCTTGTCGAGGATAATGAATTTTCTCAAAAAAAAAAATAATATACTTACTTGGCTCGCTTTTGTGTAAACAACAATAATATTATGCCGGCGAGGAGATTAAAACGGGGAATCAAGTAGCGTTTTCTAAACTATTTACAGCGGATCGAAAACATCATTAAATTTTACACGCTTTCTGATAATCTTATTACTTTGGGTTATGTTAGGAATCATATTACTGTTTTCCTATACTTAGGTATTTTATGTAGACCTTTTTTGTATTTTAATAGGACAGGGAAAATGTCAACAATCGAATCGTATCAGCATTAGCATATTCAACTTATTTCGTATATTTGTATTTAATAGCAATATAAAATTGCCAAGTTTTTAGGCATTTAAATTGAACGATTTACCTACGACATAAAAGATACAGTGTGTTAGTTAAGATTAGACTTGAAGACAATTCAACTACCTAACTAAAACTTTAAAAAAATGTTTACAACTATGCTTTAAGTATATTATGCTACTTTTTTAGTCTCAAAGTCGTTTGGACTTTTGCCTTTTTGAGAAAAATGCGACCAAGGGAAAAAACTGTTTCTTATTACATATTTTGTGAGTAGTACACAAAAAAAAAAAATACAATTTAAATCAAGTGTAAAGTTAAATAACAATGTGTAAACATAAATTTAATAATTGTCTTCTCTTTAAAGTTAAAATTATAGTAAGATGGTGTTAAGTTATGGTTAATATTAAAATCAATTTTTTTTAATTTCTATTAATTCGATTAATATTATTAAACGAGATAACTAATTTTGTATACATTATAATTAATTGGCGAAAACTTAACATAGTCAACTGAAATTTAATTTTTACTAGATCGAAATCATTTTTTATTAAACTAGACGAATTTAATAATATGTTAACTATAAAACGTTTACCCGAATAGGCTAGCATTTGTGAGTTGTTGGTGCTGTCATAGGCTTACTTATACACTTGCATTTGCACAATAATAAGATTACATTATACCGGGTGGATTGAACTCAATAACAATAAAGTGGAAGGTTTCTTTAAAAAATACTATATTATATACTCGACGAGACATAAATCATTGATTGTTGTGTCTAACGTTAAAAGTGCGATAAATAATATCAATATCACACTATGTTTATTGATAAATATCTGCCATTTTTTAAAATAATTTTTACACTTATATAAAAATATCATATACAAAGTGTAACACGTTTCATTCATACTTTTTTTTTAATCTGTTAAATCATTTTGCCTTATACCTATACATGGATTATTTTTGTATTAATATATATATATATATATATATATATATTTTTTTGACATTGACTCTTGGCAACTGCTTGGTAATTTTTTACACACAACCGAGCCAATAGTGTGTTTGTAAGTCTGTGTTTGTGCGTATTGGAATATCGAACCAATAACGGTACTTACATCCCATGTGTCTTACACGGTCGTTCGTGCTGTGTGCAATAATATTACCATTATTATTATTATTATTATTATTATCATACTTAGGTACACGGCCGGTCTCTATAATAATATGGCCAACGGTAAAGCACAGTCGAAACGTTTTACTCGAGGCGAGAGAGGAATAATAATAATAAAAAAAAAATACTGACGATCTTCACCTAGTTATCGTTGTCTGTGTGTGTGTGTGTACATACTGTGCTGTATATTATATATGTCGGCGGTTTGTGCAATTACCACGGCTATCCGACCACGAATAGAGTTTAATTATATACATATATATATATATATTTTTTTTTTATATAATATATACATGCCCAAAACTGCATAGTCTCTCCTATAGTCTCTCTGTCTATCTCCTTACCAGTGTGTACGATAATATGCATATGTATTATGTACAAATCACCGTACAACCTCATAGCTGTAGTATAAATGTACCGTGGGAATACAGTATAGTAATAACAACAAAATAATAATAGCAAGTATGTACACTATTTTTACCAACGTCAATTGTTCTGTCGGTATCTGATCCGGACGACTGTTTTGCGAAATGCTAATTTGTTTCCTGACTTGTCGCAATTCTGTGGAAAACAAGCTAGCAACAGCAATAAGGGTGGAACGGCCTAGTCGATTGGTCAAGTACATAATAATATCATGTATGTCACAATATATAAAAAAATAATAATATCGCAGATTGTGCTCTATTAGAGGAATGTAACTGCTGAAAATGTAAACAAACCGGAACCCACCTCAACTCAGAGTGGCCACCGGTAGAAAAAAAAAAATTCTCCACGAAAAATTAGAGAACATCACTGAATTTGTATGATTGCTATCACCGATAGGTTGTACAAATTGTTTGATAACATACTATAGTAAAGTGTTCTGTACTTACGATAATTTAATATCTAGAAGGTGGTCACAATGATTCGAGAAGGGTTTCAGTTATCAGCAAATGTGCAAAAGTGCACCATTTGGTTTTATATAATCTGTAATGAAGCCAAAGTGGCTCAATTATTTAAGTAGTACCAAAGAAACTAAATCCAGCACAGTGATGGGAGGGTGTAGTGAGATTGATGACATTATCCCTTTTGATGTGTTGCTGTTTTAACCGTTTTTTAGATAACTATATATATATATAAGTTATTAACACGTTTTTAGATCTGCCTTCAGTCTAGATTACAAAACTTAAAGTTAAAAAAAATAATTGCGATTCTTTAGCTATGGGAATTGGTTTTTGGATAAATATGTACATATTTTGGGTGTTTTTCTCGATTTTAAAGGTATTTTTTTTAAACATTTTTAGCCCAATAGAGTACCTTTAATGACCAAGTAGGTTCAGGCATAAAAATAATTACACACCATTTGAAAAAAAACAACACCATTTTCAGCTACGCGTCCAAGCTAATATAAACCTGTTTTTTTTTTTTCTAAAACGCAAGTAAGTTAAACATGCAACGACTTGTTATGCAACGACTTTCGAGATGATTCGAATTTATATCCATTTTTTTTTTTTTTTTTTTACTTGGAAATATCATCAATTCATACTTTTGTTGGTGTTATACTGGCAAGTCCGTTACCTTTTACAAGCATAATATTTACAACAGTAGTACGTTTCTATGGATTTTTTATCCGTGGTTTTTTTCTTTTTCATAATGCTTAGATTCAGTCGATCGCACACGGTATTATAATAATGTATATTATACATATATATATATGTATGTATGAATTGTATTGGTTAAATGGGTTTGCATTTAACGGTGGACAACTGCAAATAGCGGTAGCCGGTGTGTGTGTGTGTGTTAAGGAAAAAAAGAGAAAGTACAGTCACAACACGTGTAAGGTCGCCTCGGGCCGCCGTCAAGAAAGTATAATAATTATTATTCTTATTCGTCACCGATGTTAGAGGCTTACCTGGTCTGCACTCTATACAATATAATAACGATAATATATTGTACTAATGCAATGTGGTGTGTGCAATGAATGTACAGGACGATTGCTTAGGCCTTAGTTACCTGTTTTCGGGGTCGGATCGGTGCAAACGGTAGAAACCTGTTTTTTGCTTCTCGAAGGGACTATACCGTACGGAATGCAACCGTATTATATTGGAAAATATTTCAAAAAAAAAAAATACATATATAGGCAATATATAAAAAAATCCGCATTGGGAAAGTTGTGCTTCGAACGGACCTCGTTCGTACATCCAAGTAATATATTTTAGTCGGTTGTTTTTTTTTAACAGTAAACCCTAAACTTGGTCGTCGTCCGTCTATCGGTTTAGCTTCAAAAAAATCAAGTATAGCATAACATAATCTAGATTAAACTTACACGAACGTCGAGCCAGTTAACTAGAGAGAACTGACATAACAAGTAATTTTACTTAACCGGGATCTGTTCATAATATTATAACGACATTAAAAATATACAAAAGAAGCCGGGTACACGCAATGTTCATTACCGTCTCTTATGTAGTCATAGTAGGCATTATAAAATGAGTGGCGCAACACACACACACACGCACAATCCTAATATAATATTATAATACAACGACAGTTTGTCTTCGGCTCGGTTGTAATCTACTCGTTATTGTTGTTGTTTTTTTATTAAAATTTTTTTTTTTCAATTTTGATGGCTTTTTAGTGGGTTTTTTTTTTTTTTTGGGCCGACCCGACGTGGCAGTCACAGAGGTCGATCACCGCGCTGTGTTTATACAAGACAGCACAGTGTTTGCTGCTGCTGCTGCCGCCAGTATAATATACATTAATAATAATAATAATAATAATTATAATACAAGGTACAGCTGGTCACGTATAGTGACCGTCGGCCCGCATACAACAAGACCAGTCTCCGGAGAGACACTATAATGTTTTAGGAAATTTGCCTTTGGGCCGTTCCAAAACCGGGATTCACACCCGGCAAGCGTTGCTTCTTAATCTCAAGTAACGGATCTAGTGGTCGATGGAAAAAAATGTAAATCAAATTAATCCAAAACGGCCGTTCGCGTTAATCAAACAATTTTAGTTAGTTGTACGAAGTGTGTGTGTGTGTTGTAGCAAAGCACCGAATCAAACGATAGACAATCGTTTTTAGTTATCTCCAAACAACAAAAAAGAAAAAACTAATAGAACGTGTTCTTAAGTCGATTTTAATTGCTACAAATTAATTATTAAAGTTTTTTTTTCGCCCTTTACAGTAAAACGAGACAAGTAATATTATGAAATAACTTGTTTTTTTTATTATTCCAACCGCAGTCGGCAAGTTAACATTGAAGTTTCGCTAAGGTCGACGTGATCAATTTAATACAATATTATCACCCATTTGTACCTCTTATAAACTATACGGTATGAGGTCCTACAATATTACTATTCAAGACGTTTGTCTTCATTAGTTCGAGTTTTTTTTTTTTTTTTGTTCTCTTAACGCCCGACGACCGCAAGACACCGGCTGGTATATTTAACCGGATTCGACGGCGCGTCAAGTTGCACGCACTGTACGTGCAAAATGGTCACCCTGTATACGCGACGATTATTGTATTTGTTGCCGGTTGTGTCACACCGTCGACTGCCTTTGGACGCGCGCAATTGCCTAATCGTCTACGGTGCAATACAATCAGATCCGACTGTAATGATAATAATAATATTATTATCATTATCTAACAACGTATTAATTACCTTCTCCCCTCCCCCTTTCTATTGTTGTCGGTTCCCCGTCCGAACAATAATATTGTGGACAATTTAAACACACACACACGCATGCCTTGTGATTAACTATACCTGCACCTGTGGTGGACTGCAAAGTAAGTGACTGCTGCATGTACTTGTAACCGAGAACGTGTACCTACCTACCTGCACATAATCATATTATACTGTAAATAATGCGCCTAAGTACACAATATTATGTGGTTTGTCGTTTTTCAAACGGCCGTGTAAAGCGTGCCGGCACGCGGAGACCAAGGCGGATTTTTGATTTCTAACGTGCTGGACCGTCTCGGAGCTCTCTCTATCTCTCTGCGCGTCTCATGTCTTACAATGGCCCCGGCTATTGAGAAAATAGTTAACATATATTATGATAAAAATATATATTATAATAACGGTAACCGCGGTATAGTCGATGGACGCGTTACATAATAATTAACAACAATAACCAGGTGTAGAATACACACTAACCGCCGAGTACATACCCAACGGTTGTATTAACACCGAATAATAATAATTGTTTATTATAGCCACGCTGTGTGTGCCCAGAAATACTTTCCACGAACGCCTCGCCGTAGGTACCTACCGCAATGGATTTATAATATTTTGTATATAATGTACTAAAAAACAATAATAACACCACAGATGTTTGTATACAACAACCAGAGAAACATAAACTAGAAAACCGCAGTCGAACAACAAACAAACGCCGGTAACCGACAAATGTAAAAAAAAAAATAGTAATAATACAATATTCATTCGGTCGCGCAACGACGGCTGTGTTATTAATCTTTTTACTTTTTACTTTTTTCTTTCTAATGTAATACATTATTTTACTTTTAACCGTTTTG